TCTAGACCATCTTGATACTGAAAGCACTTTATTGTTGTTAGTAGTGTTGTTGCTTATGATTTTATTGTTTTATTGGATTTTATGTATGGGCTTCCGCCCCTTGTAATCCGCCCTGAGCCCGCTTGCGGGGAGGGCGGGGTAAAAATACCTAAATAAATAAATAAAATAAACTGCAGGCTGTGGAAGGTCGGTAGTTCAGCAGTTCGAGACCCGAGTGTGCCGCATGACGGAGTGAGCTCCCGTCTCTAGTTCCAGCTCCTGCCAACCTAGCAGTCGGAAAGCAAGAAACTGCAAGTAGATAAATAGGTACCGCTTCGGTGGGAAGGTAACAGCGTTCCGTGCGCCTTGGCGTATAGTCATGCCGGCCACATGACCACGGAGACGTCTTCGGACAGCGCTGGCTCTTCGGCTTTGAAACGGAGATGAGCATCGCAACCCTAGAGTTGGACTCGACTGGCTTTCGAGCAAGGGAACCTTTACCTTTACTCACGCATTTTCCCCCCGCTCAGGAAGGAGGGCTCCAGAGCAAACCCATTTAAGCAGGAGCCAAATGGCTCGCTTACAACTTTAATGCCTGGTAGCTCACGAAGTAGAATTTTTGCTCACAAGACTCCACAGCTTAGAGGGAACATTGGTGGGAAGTACTGGTCGACCTTCCAAGGGCTTGTTGTGGTGGTAGCAGGCGAGCGTGCCAGGGCTTTCATTGGGTGGGGAGGGGGTGGAAGGTTTTGACAAGTCACAGCCAGAGGTCCCTCTAAGCTGCAGAGTCTTGTGAGCAAAAGTTCTTGTTTGTGAGTGACTGGCATTAAAGTTGTGAGCAGGTGCTTTGGTTGCTGCATAAATTAGTTCGCTCTGGAGCCATCCTTCCTGAGCTAAGGCAAAAATGTGTGAGCCAGAGGCTAAAAAACTAAGCTAGCTCACACTATAACTCAGCTTAGAGGGAGCACTGAGGGGTGGAAGGTTTTGACAAGTCACAGGCAGCGCTCCCTCTAAGCTGTGGGGTCTTGTGAGCAAAAGTTCTATTTTGTGAGCTACTGGCCTTAAAAGTTGTGAGCAAGTGATTCGGCTGCGGCATAAATTAGTCCGCTCTGGAGCCTTCCTTCCTGAGCTAAGACAAAAATGTGTGAGCCAGAGGCTAAAAAGCTGTGAGCTAGCTCGCACTGACTCGTCTTAGAGGGAACACTGGTCACAGCTGACATGTGTTAGTGTTGTAGGGCTTTCAAGGCAAAAGGTGTCCGGAGGTGGCCTGGCCTTCGTGGGTTTGCCTTTGCCTGTCCACCCTGGGTGGACTTCCTTGGTGGTCTCCCATCGTAGCAGAACAAGGTTTTGAGTCCAGTGGCACCTTGAAGACCAAGCAAGTTTTATTTAAAGTGTACGTTTTTGTGTGCAAAGCACACTTCTTCAGACATTGGCTTCTCTTATATGTTCTTAGGTGGCCTTGAGACAAGCCACTCTCTCCAGTAGCCTTCCCCTCCCTGTGCTGGGCCCCATTAAGAACATAAGAGACACCAGTGTTGGATCAGGCCAGTGGCCCATCCAGTCCAACACTCTGTGTCACACAGTGGCCAAAAATACCAGGGGCCATCGAGAGGTCCAGCAATGGGACCCAGAGGCTTTGCCTTGGGCTCCAAAATGGAAGCTTCCTGTTGGGCAGATATTTTTCTCACCTGTTGCAGTGCTTAACAAGGTAATTGGGGTGATGTGCTTCGGATTCTCTGAAGTTTTATGCAGTTGCTAAGTGTTGCTGACTAACGATTATACCACGGGGTGGGGCTCAGTGACTGAGCGTTTGCTTCGCTTACGGAAAGTCCCAGGTTCAATCCCTGGCATCTCCAAGATCACACGGTAGACGACAGGTGAAGTCACTGCCGGGGACCTTGTAAAGCAGCTGCCAGTCAGAGTAGACAGTACTGCCCTTGATAGGCCAGTGTCAGAGTAGACAATACTGCCCTTGATAGGCCAATGGCCTGAGAGCTGGTACAGAGCGCATCTTCATGTGTAAGTTGTTACCCACCCAGGATCAGATGTCCTCCTTGCCATGGTCTTAGAAGGTAAACAGGTTTTCTTCCAGTTACTTTCTGTAGAAGGGGAAGGTGGGTGGTTGTTGTCTTGTAGGGTTGCTGTAAGAGATATGGTGCAGTCTGTGGCTGGATGGTTTTAAAAAGAAGAAGAGGAGATTGGATTTATACCCCGCCCTTCACTACCCAAAGGTGTCTCAGAGCAGCTTACAAACTCCTTCCCCTCCCCACAAATCTGTGAATTTTATTCTGAAAAGTTCTGGGTGACATTTTAACCCAGTAGCCCTAGTGCAGGGGAGGGCAACTTGTCCAAGGCTGTCCAGTGTGCTTTATAGTTGAAGTTGACAGTAGGTTTTGCTACCTCCATGTTGGGCCTGAAGATCTCCCAGTATTACAATTATATCTCCAGACCACAGAAATTGCAATTATATCTCCAGACCACCGAAATTGGTTTCTCCTGGAGAAATGGCAGCTTCAGAGGGCTTTATGGTCTGTGGCCTGAGGTCTGTCTCCTCCCGGAGCTTCTCTCTCCATACGCTCCACCCACAAAATGTCCCAAGTATTTCCCCACCCAGAGGTGCTTATCAGAGTCAAAGTTCCCTTTGTCAGGTATGGCAAAGGGAACTTTGACTCTCAAACGCTTTAAACCTCTCGAAAATCTTGTCGGTCTCTAACGTCCTCCTGGTTTCGAATCTAGCTGTCACACAGAGTTCCAGTAATGGTTAACGCTGCTCTTGACGGAAGTAGAGATCCTGTTTCCTAATCGGAGGGTGTTTGTGTGTGTGTTATGCCTGACTTCTAGCATACTAGCTTTGTGCTTTCTTTGTACTTAGCTTTTTTTGGGGAGGGGCTGCTAGTAGACGCTCTAGAGTCCCATCTGTGATGAGACGTCTTAATAATATTCGCTTAAACCTTCCTCCGGCTGAGTCACAGTTACCTAATTTATAGTGTCGGTTTTCCCAGGTACTTGATGTGATCCTTTATACATAGCCTTTTAAAAAGAATAAAGCACATTTTGCTGTTCTTCCAGAAGAGCCCTATTGGAACAGGCTGTGCTCTCTCCCTTTTATCCCCCCCCCCCGTAAAGTGATTAAAAGTTTACAGTTATTACATAACCACAGACTCTTAAAAAAAGTGTAATATAGTGAAAAGAGTCTTAGTCACTGACAACCTCTGGGTCTCATGATACTGCGTAGATTCAATAAGAATGTCTGTTGAGTGGATGCTGTAAATAAAGATGATTATTTCTTATACGGGGTCCATTTATGAAATAAAAATTGCACATTCTTTTGAGTGGTATAATGTGTTCTTCTGAAGGAAGTTAGAGGAATATGAGGGATTTTGGTTTCTTACTGAAGATAGATGTAGGATAAGAGCATAAAAGTGTAGTCTGAATCACGAGTATTCTTTAACTTCAAATGATGAACACATGCTACTTACTTCCTAGCATGTTTTAAAATAATCTGTAGTGTCTTTCAAATAGAACAAAAATGCTATGAGTGTTCCTCTGTGGGTTGACAGTTACACACAGACACCTGAAGCTGCTTTATACTGAGTCAGAGCCTTGGTCCATCAAGGTCCGTATTCTCTACTCAGACCGGCAACAACTCTCCAGGGTCTCAGGCAGAGGTCTTTTCACATCCCCTCTTAACTGACCCTTCTAACTGGAGATGCCGGGGATCGAACGCGGGACCTTCTGCATGCCAAGCAGATGCTTTGCCACTGAGCCACGGCCCCTAGCCTAAAGACACCTCTACTACTGAACTTCTAGGAGTATTGAAGAAACCTTGCTTTAATTGGAAACATTTTACTTGTAAGTAGGTCCTGTGTATTTAAGTGAAGCTTACTTGAGCTGTGGTGGCTCAAGTGGTTAAGACGCTGAACTGCAGGCTGTGGAAGGTCAGTAGTTCAGCAGTTTGAGACCCGGGTGCCACAAGACAGGGTGAGCTCCCGTCTCTAGTTCCAGCTCCTGCCAACCTAGCAGTCCGAAAGCAAGAAATTGCAAGTAGATAAATAGGTACCACTTCGGTGGGAAGGTAACAGCGTTCCGTGCGCCTTGGTGTGCTTTGCCACTGAGCCACGGCCCCTCCCGTAAAGACACATCTCTACTACTGAACTTCTAGGAGTACTGAAGAAACCTTCTCAACGCTTTAATCGGAAACATTTTACTTGTAAGTAGGTCCTATGTATTTAAGTGAAGCTTACTTCATATTAATGTGAATTCTTGAACACGTGCATCTGCCTTCCCCTGTGTCAGACCACTGGTGCCCGAAGGTCAGTCTAGTCCACTCTGACTGGCAGCGGCAAAACCACCTCTGTTTGTCTCTCGCCTTGACCCGGATAGCTCAGGCTAGCCCGGTCTCGTCAGACCTCAGAAGCTAAGCAGGGTCGGCCTCGGTTAGGGCTTGGATGGGAGACCACCGTGGAGGTCCGGGGTCGCTGCAGAGAAGGCTGGTGATGGCAAACCCACCTCCGTTCGTCTCTGGCCATGAAGACCCTGTGGCACAACACACAGCCACCCCAGTGTCCATAAACCAGTCAAATACATAGGAGATACCAAACACAAGCTCGGAGTCCACACGGAGGCTAGCAACAATATATAGTGTTGAACACTGTAACGCGGAAATAGCAATGGTTTTAGGTTGGTTTAACCTCTATATAAGCTACACTGTTATCGCTTCATTCTTGAGAGCCAGTCCGGTGTCGTGGTTAAGTGCGTGGACTCTAATGTGGGAAAACCGGGTTTGATTCCCCACTCCTCCACTCGGAGCTGCTGGATGACCTTGGGCAAGCCGTAGTTCTGTCAGAGCTGTTCTTGAAAAAGAGCCGTTTCTGTCAGAGCTCTCTCAGCCCCACCTCACAGGGTGTCTGTTGTGGGGAGGGGGAGGGAAAGGAGTTTGTGGGCCGCTCTGAGACACCTTTGAGTGGTGAAGGGTGGGGTATAGATCCAATCTCTTCTCTTCTTCTTAAATTGTATATTTTTGGAATACCAATAAAAACTATTTAAAGAAAAAAGAAAACCCTGTGACATCTCTGTATGTCAGCTGCGACTTGATGGCACTTTCCATCCCCATGTGGCGTTAAGGGGTCACAGTGTTGGAAGACCAGGGAGATGAGCTCAAAGCCCCACTTGGCCATAAGTCTCACGGGGGGAGTCTGTGTCAGGGCCTCATCACACAACGCATTTTTAAATGGGTACATCCATTGGAGCTGGCAGATGTTTCCTGGGAGTCCGTGGCTCCCTGTTGTGTCCAGCCCTTCGGGGCAGGACTGTGGTTCATGAAAGGGGGAGGCATGTCTTAAACCAGGGGTGGCCAAACTTGCTCACCATAAGAGCCACATAGACCTCAGCAGAGGTCCATCAGTGGCCCCTATTAGCCACAAGGGATAGATAGGGACTCTGGGGCAAGGGATGCTCTGTCTTCTTGGTGCCTGGGAGGGGGGCAACAGTGGGAGGGCTTCTAGTGTCCTGGCCTCACTGTTGGAACTCCTGATGGCACCTGGCATTTTTGGCCACTGCGTGACACAGAGTGCTGGACTGGATGGGCCACTGGCCTGGTCCAACATTGGCTTCTCTTCTGCTCTAATACATATGGAGCAGAGGTCCATCAGTGGCTCTTAGCCACAAGGGATAGAGAGGAACTCTCGGTCTGGGGCAAGGGATGCTCTGTATTCTTGGTCCTTGGGGGGGCGACAGGGAGGGCTTCTGGTGTCTTGGCTCCACTGCTGGACCTCCTGATGGCACCTAGTATTTTTGGCCTGTTCCGTGTGACCGCAGCCATTGTTACCTTTAAAAGCCAGAGGAAGCCAGGAGGTCCGTCCCGCTTTTAACCCTGTGCTTGCCTGTCCCTCTCAGCCCGGGCTCGGCGTGAGCCAAACCAAGTTGCACAACGCGGTCAAGCCAAGCGTGGATTACATCTGCCAGCTGAAGTTCCCCTCCGGCAATTTCCCTCCGTGCATCGAGGACTCCAGAGACTTGCTCGTGCATTGGTGCCACGGTGCGCCCGGCGTCATATACATGCTCCTTCAGGCCTACAAGGTGGGCAGCAACGGCCGAGGTGGCTGTCTGGTGTTTGTCCCCCCTCCCTCCCCCCCCCCACAAGCCGGTTTATCATATTTAGATGCAATAACTTTTCCACCCGCAACTAAAATGGAAATGGGACTTTTACAAATGATTCCCAGAGATGTCCCCGTCATGCCTCCTGAACGCGGGGCGTCCTCATTGCTCGGAGAGGTGGCCGCATGTCCCGCTCTTCGGTGGCTGACTAATGGCAACAGTCAGTGGTGACTTAAATAATGACGACGTCTCGTTCCATTTATCACTCCAAAAAAAAATCTCTGAAGGTAAAAGGCAAAGTCATTGTGTTCTTGTCCAAGGGAAGGGAGGGTGCTCCATGACAGAAGGGCTAATTAGCCAAGTATGCGCGAGATGTCCACGTCCCGGCGTCGCACGGTGCACGTGGCACCAGCCGCACAGCCGGGAGAAAAAGTTGCTTGTCTCCACAGGTGTTTGGGGAGCAGAAGTACCTCAGCGATGCCCTGCAGTGCGCCGAGGTGATCTGGCAGTGGGGGTTGCTGAAGAAAGGTTACGGGCTGTGTCACGGGACAGCTGGCAACGCATATGCCTTCCTGACTCTCTACAACCTCACTCAAGACATGAAATACCTCTACAGAGCTTGCAAGGTGAACGGCTGTTTGGAGACGTGCACTCAAGTTTGTGAGAACTTTCTTTGTGTGTCTGTGGCGGGGGGGCTGGGGGAGGTAGAGACACTTCCCATCACTAAAAAGAACTCAGTTTAAAGCAGAGGACATCTTAGTATCCCGATAAGAACATACAAAGAGACGGGCTGGATCAGACCAGTGGTCCATCCAGTCCAGCATCCTGTCTCACAAAGGGGCCAACCAGTTCCGCTGGAGGGCCAACAACAGGGCACAGAGGCCGAGGCCTTCCTAAGAACATCAGAAGAGCCCTGCTGGATCAGACCAGTGGTCCATCTAGTCCAGCATCCCGTCTCACATAGTGGCCAACCAGTTCCTCTGGAGGGCCAACACAGGGCATGGAGGCTTTCCCCTGATAAGAACACCAGAAGAGCCCTGCTGGGTCAGACCAGTGAGGGTCCCTCTAGTCCAGCATCCCGTCTCACACAGTGGCCAACCAGTTCCTCTGGAGGGCTAACAACAGGGCAGAGAGGCTGAGGTCTTCCTAAGAACCCAAGAAGAGCCCTGCTGGATCAGACCAGGGGTCCATCCAGTACAGCATCCTGTCTCACACAGTGGCCAACCACTTCCTCTGGAGGGCCAACGACAGGGCACAGAGGCTGAGGTCTTCCTAAGAACAGAAGAGCCCTGCAGGATCAGACTGGCAGTCCATCTCGTCCAGCATCCCATCTCACACACTGGCTAACCAGTTCCTCTGGAGGGCCAACGACAGGGCGTAGAGGCTGAGGCCTTCCCCTGAGGTTGCCTCCTTGGCTCTGGGATTCAGAGGTTTACTGCCTCTGAATGTGGAGGTTCCCCACAGCCACCACGGCTAGTAGCCATTGATACACTTATCCTCCATGATCTTTTCGAATCCCCTTTGAAAGGTGTTTATTCCTGTGGCCATCACTATATCCGCTGGCAGCAAATTCCCCATTTTAATCATTCACACTGTAAAGTGGTATTTCCTTTTTTTTTCCCCATCCTGATCCTACTGCCCATCCGCTCCATTGGATGCCCTCAAGGCATGAAGCTGAGCATTATGCACCAAGTGAATGTTGATAATTCTACATAATGGAATCATTTAGATGGCAGCTCACAAAGCTAAGAAGTTGGTGCTCGTTTTGCATTTGCTGTTAATTTTAATCGGCGTGTCAATTAAAAAAAAAGCTCATGAGAAGTTTGCACACTGCCTCTGATTCACAAACGTCGTGTTTGTTAATAATCCACAATGTGTGTTAACACCCACCCACACGCGCACACAATTTGGGTCCTCTGAGTCTCCGTTTTCCGGGTTTCCCCCCGAATGTGAGAGAGCACAAATTGCGATAACCTTTGGAAAGTCCACCCGTTGCATATTGCAAAATGCATACGTGGGAAGCCCGTCTGTTAATGAATTCCTTGCGCAAGTGGATTCCCCGTTAGTTTGTTCTTTGGTGTTCGCATTCTGCCATGGTGGTACTTGGAGATTAGAGAGGAATGCTTGGAGCCTGTGGTCCGTTTCCCTCGCTTCTCGACTGCATCCCTGGCACCTTGTTACCCAGCGTGATCTGCCCTACGCCTACTCTGAACAGCTTCCTTCAGCCATCCTAACGCACTCCCTCTTCTCTCTCGTTTTCATAACCTTCCACCTCCCTGCCCGGTCAAATGTTTCCAGGGCACAATCCTTACCGGGCCTCAACTGGGCTAAATACTGGCCGCCCAGCTGCAATGGCATGGCTTAGACTCAGAATACATGATAGATCTTAGACCAGGGGTGTCGAACTCATTTGTTATGAGGGCTGGATCTGACTTAAATGAGACTTTGTTGGGCCGTGCCGTGTGTGTGTCATAAAATGTAATGCCAGGTGGTATAAAGGACACAAACACAAAGGGTGTTTTTATGTCTGACTTAAATGAGACTTTGTTGGGCCGTGCCGTGTGTGTGTCATAAAATGTAATGCCAGGTGGTATAAAGGACACAAAAACAAAGGGTGTTTTTATGTTTTTTACTTAAAGTAAAAGCATGCATAAAACAGTAGCACGCTTGCAATATTTTGTTTATTTAACCGTGTCTGATAACGGACCCCTCTTGCTCTGAATTACTGCATCGAAATGTCTGTGCTGTTGCAATCTTGAGTCTGCTGTTCTGGTGTGTATCTGTAAACTGCAAACCTACGATGATGCAGCAGCAGCAGAACTGGAAGAAGCAGAAGGCAGCCAGTTCCACTGCGGGCCTGATAGAAACCCTCCAGGGACCTCATCTGGGCCACATGTTTGACACCCCTGTCTTACACTGTTCACAAGCGTTTCCGTTTCTGAAACTTATTTCGAGAAGGGAGTGTCTATAAATAATCAGTAGCATTGTGAAAAACTCCCACTTGCACACGTGATTGATCAAGATGGGTTACTGTATTAGTCTGTCTGTAGCAGCAGAAAAGAGCAAAGAGTGCAGGAGCCCCTTAAAGACTAACAAAATTTGTGGCAGGGGAGGAGCTTTCGGGAGTCACTGGCTCATGTCTTCTTGTATATGTGATAACCTCTTTTTCTTTCAAGAGCCAGTTTGGTGTAGTGGTTAAGAGTGTGGACTCTAATCTGGGAGAACCAGGTTTGATTCCCCCACTCCTCCACTCGCACCTGCTGGTGTGGCCTTGGGTCAGTCACAAGTTCTTTCAGAGCTGTTCTGTGAGACAGCTTAAGTAGCTGTTGAGAGAGGCCTGCAAATAGATAATCAGCAGCCCAGGAGTAGCTCTGCCTCCAACTCAAAATATCCTGTGGATGCATCTTGTGGTCTAGAACAGGTGTCTTCAGTGTGGTACCCACAAGTGCCATGGTGCCCGCTATCCTGGTACCCACCGAGTGTTTCTAGAAAGTGGGCGGGGCTTTTTCCCAGCAAGGTTTCTGATTGGCCATTGGAGATTTGATTGGCTGTGCACTGCAGATTTCTTTTTAAATGGATTTATTACTATAATGTTTACTGCTTACCGAGAAGGATGTAATATATTATGACTCGACATGCTTCCCAATTTTTTTTTTATTTTTCTTTTATTAACAAAGCACAATAGCACAACAGCAAAAACATACAGAAAACTGCGATACAAAGCAGAAACCGCCTACTGTACAGCAATAGGTGAATCAAACAGACACTCCTAACTTCCATTAAGTCTCAACTCGTTAACCATTCTTGTAATCCTCTAATCAGCAAACTACTTAAAGAAACAACTAAACCCGTTTCCCCAGTGGCGATTGTTAACCATGTTAAAACATTGGTTTGGCAGCAGCTGCCACCACAACACAAGGCTCTTCGTTATGTGACCGAAGGTAGGCCGTGGAAGCTGTTTTGTGGCTGGCCTCGCCTCCTGCGGCAGCCATTTTGTGGCTGGCCCTGCCTCCTTCAGGAGCCATTTTGTGGTGGCTGTGTCAGAGTTCCAATAGTGCCTGCAGGCTCAAAACAGTTGGAGACCTCTGGTCTGGGCTATAAATAAGAACTAAATGGATCCAGAGTGCTGTCTGTCAGAGGGTGTTCTATGGAACATTGTTACCAGGTGGTGTCCGATATCTGCAAGCCAACCTTCTAAAACAGGTGTCAAACATGCGGCTCGGGGGGCGGATTAGGCCCCCGGAGGGCTTCCATCCGCCCCGCAGTGGAACTGGCAATCTCCTGGTTCCAGTTCTGCTGCTGCTGCTGCTGCTGCTGCATCATCGCTTGCTTCGCCAGACTCAGTCGCTCAGCCATTTCATGTTTTGACCTGGGTCCCAGGCTCAGAACTCTGAGCAGGAGATTTCTGTGGCGAATGTCAACAAATCAAAAGTAGGTTTGCAGCTCACAGAGCTAACATTTGAAGCATGTTTTTATTTTAAGTAAAAAAAAAACCCTTTGTGTTTGTGTCATTTATAAAAGGTTTATATCTCCGCTACCTGGCATTACATTTGATGACACACGTGGCCTGGCCCAACAAGGTCTCATTTATGTCAGATCCAGCCCTCATAACAAATGAGTTCGACACCCCTGTTCTAAAACTTACGGTGTAACTTTTTTTCATTTCCCCTCTCTTAGTTCGCTGAATGGTGTTTGAGTTACGGACAGCACGGGTGCCGGACGCCGGATACTCCCTTTTCTCTCTTCGAAGGTAAACTCTGTTCTCCTGTTTAACTTAACTGCTGGTGTTGAATGGGAAGACGTCTGCTCGAGAGGAGCACGGAGGATCAATTACAAAAGAAGCAACGTATGAGCACCCCTCACTCAAGCTCACGTGGTTCTTCGTGGCAGGCACGTAGAGCCTGGTCAGACCAGCTGTTGTTTGCGTGCCACGGAGAACACCACAGAGCAGTAGGGCTGGCAGTTCTGGTTCTGACCCACACCCAAGAGGCCGAAAGCCCACAGAGGTTCAGTGGCTCACTTGGCCGTTTGCCCTGCAGAGCTGGTGCAGGTGGGGACAGACAGACATGACATTTGCCCTGAACCTTTGGGTATTTGGGGAAACTCCAGAATTTGTACCCTTATGCTGCCTATACCAGGGCTATTTTTGGGCAGGAAAGCACAGGAACGGAGTTCCGGCTGGCTCCCGAGTTGGCCACACCCAGCAGGAACTCGTTAGCATAATAGGCCAGTTTTCAACATTAACTCCATAGGTCTGCTTCAGTTGTCTGAAGGGGGGAACCAGTTCGGGCAGTAGTTAGAGGGGCCAGCGGGTCCGGGCTCATCCACCCTAAGAAGTCAATTGTTGTTAGTAATAATGACGGTGGTCGTGATGGTGGTGGTAGTGGCGGTGGCGGCTCCAAACGCTTGTCGGGGGGTGTGGCCTAATATGCTAATGAGTTTCTGCTCTTGGCCTATACCATTTTGGTTCTGTCCCTGACAAGTCTGAGGCCTCTGAGTGTGTACCGTCCCTGCTTCATATACAACCCTGTAAAGTAGGCCAGTATCTGGGAGTGGACTAGATGACCCTGGAGGGTCCCTTCCAACTCTGCGATTCTGTGATTCTTTCCCTGTGTGGTACCCTCTCCCCCCCCCGCTCTCCGCCTC